CCCAAAACGCCCCAAAACCCCCCGCGACCCCCAAAATCCCCAAGACCCCCCAAATTCTGCCCCAAGACCCCCAAATCCCCCCCCAAATCCCCCCCAGGCTCTCACACCGATGTCGCCGTCACTCCTTTATTTAGGGGAGGGGTCGCACACGGAGACCCCTCCCCACCTTTGGGGGGGCATTTTGGGGGGGTCCCGGGGGGATTTTGGGGGGGTTTCCGGGTATTTTGGGGCGGTCTCAGGGGGTTTTTTGGGGGTCTCGGCTATTTGGGGAGGGGTCTCAGAGGTCCTCGCCCCCCTCGAGCTCCCAGAGGCGGCGGCGGATTTTGAGGAGGGGGCGCAGGAGCCCCCCCGGGCCCAGCGGGACCCCCAGGCGCAGGCGGAAGCCGCGGGTGGGCAGCAGCAGCGGGGGGTGCTCCGAGAAGCTCTCGAAGATGTCACCTGGGGACCCCAAAATCGCCCAAAATCACCCCAAAATCACCCTGGGACCCCCAAAACCCCCCCGGGACCCTCAAACCCACCCAGGGACCCCCAAAACCCAGCCAGGGACCCCCAAATCCCCCCCAAAATCACCCCAGAACCTCCGAGAAGCTCTCGAAGATGTCACCTGGGGACCCCAAAATCGCCCAAAATCGCCCAAAATCACCCTGGGGACCCCCAAAACCCCCCCGGGACCCTCAAACCCACCCAGGGACCCCCAAAACCCAGCCAGGGACCCCCAAATCCCCCCCAAAATCACCCCAGAACCTCCGAGAAGCTCTCGAAGATGTCACCTGGGGACCCCAAAATCGCCCAAAATCGCCCAAAATCACCCTGGGGACCCCCAAAACCCCCCCGGGACCCTCAAACCCACCCAGGGACCCCCAAAACCCAGCCAGGGACCCCCAAAACCCAGCCAGGGACCCCCAAAAATCCCCTCAAAATCACCCCAGAACCTCCGAGAAGCTCTCGAAGATGTCACCTGGGGACCCCAAAATCGCCCAAAATCACCCCAAAATCACCCCCGGGACCCCCGAAACCCCCCTGGGAATCCTCAAAACCCCCAAAATCCACCCAGGGACCCCCAAAACCCAGCCAGGGACCCCCAAATCCCCCCTAAAATCACCCCCGGGAACCTCTGAGAAGCTCTCTAAGATGTCACCTGGGGGGGCATTGGGGACCCAAAATCACCCCGGGAATCCTCAAAACCCAGCCAGGAGCCCCCAAAATCCCCCCAAAATTCCCCCAGAAGCTCTCGAAGATGTCACCTGGGGGGACACTGGGGACACCATGGGGGTGTCAGGGGGTGACATGGGGGAGCACAGGGGTGACACGGGGGGTGACACAGGTGCCAGGTGTGTCCCAGGTGTGTCCCAGGTGTGTCCCAGGTGTGTCACTCACCCGGGGCTCCGGGGGGGGGCACAGGGGGTGACACAGTGACACGGGGAGGTGACAGGGGTCACACAGGAGGGTGACACAGGTGACAGGGTGTCCCAGGTGTGTCCCAGGTGTGTCCCAGGTGTGTCCCAGGTGTGTCACTCACCCGGGGCTCCACGCGGGGGGCACAGGGGGTGGGTCAGGGGGTGACACAGGGAGGTGACAGGGGTCACACAGGAGGGTGACACAGGTGCCAGGTGTGTCCCAGGTGTGTCCCAGGTGTGTCACTCACCTGAGGCGGCTGCCGCGCTCTCCTCGGGCCCCGGGCTCCACGCGGGGGGCACAGGGGGTGACACAGGGGGTGACACGGGGGTGACACAGGGATGTGACAGGTGTGTCCCAGGTGTGTCCCAGGTGTGTCCCAGGTGTGTCACTCACCTGACGTGGCCGCCGCGCTCTCCTCGGGCCCGGGGCTCCAGGCAGGGGGCACAGGGGTGACACAGGGGGCTCACACAATGACACGGGGGTCACACAGGGAGGTGAGAGGGGTCACACAGGAGGGTGACACAGGTGACAGGTGTGTCCCAGGTGTGTCCCAGGTGTGTCCCAGGTGTGTCACTCACCTGACGTGGCCGCCGCGCTCTCCTCGGGCCCGGGGCTCCACGCGGGGGGCGCGGGCTGCCCCCCCCCCAGGCGGTAATGGCGCAGCACGTGATGCAGCTGGGCCGGGGACAGCGCCGGGAACTCGGCACGGAGCCGCGCCCACGTGGCCTGGGACAGGTGAGACACAGGTGAGACATGTGTGACACAGGTGTGACAGGGACAGGTGACACACAGGTGTGGGACAGGTGTGACAGGTGAGACACCGGTGTGCCCAGCTGTGCCCAGGTGTGTCCCCTGTCGCAGGCAGGCCCGCGGCGTGCTCAGCAGGTTGGCGGTGGCCGAGAGCCGTGTGAGCTGTGTCCCAGGTGTGTGTTAACCCCCCCAGGTGTGTCACCTGTCGCAGGCAGGCCCGCGGCGTGCTCAGCAGGTTGGCGGTGGCCGAGAGCCGTGTGAGCTGTGTCCCAGGTGTGTGTTAACCCCCCCAGGTGTGTCCCAGGTGTGTCCCAGGTGTGTCCCAGGTGTGCCCAGGTGTGCCCAGGTGTGTCACCTGTCGCAGGCAGCCCCGCGGCGTGCTCAGCAGGTTGGCGGTGGCCGAGAGCTTGCGGAAGAAGTCGCCGGCGATGGCGGCCAGCCCCAGCGCCCCCAGCCCGTCCAGCAGCAGGTCCAGGTTGGTGCGCAGCCGCACGCCCGCCCACCACTGGAACTGCGGCCCCGCGCCGCCTGCCACGGCGCGACCGGGGAGCGTTTCAGGGGGGGTTTAAAGGGGTCCGAAGGGGTTTTAAAGGGGTTTTTTTAAGGATTTTTTGAAGATTTTTTAAGGATTTTTTAAGGATTTTTTAAGGATTTTTTAAGGATTTTTTAAGGATTTTTTAAGGATTTTTTGAAGATTTTTAAAGGATTTTTTAAGGAGTTTTTTAAGATTTTTTAAGGATTTTTTGAGGATTTTTTAAAGATTTTTAAAGGATTTTTTCGAATTTTTAAAAGATTTTTTTTTAAGATTTTTTAAGGATTTTTAAGGATTTTTTAAGGATTTTTTGAAGATTTTTAAAGTATTTTTTAAGGATTTTAAAGGGATTTTTAAAGGGTTTTTGAAGGGGTTTTAAAAGGATTTTAAAGGGTTTTTTTTTTTAAGGATTTTTTCAGATTTTTTTCAGATTATTTTTAAGATTTTTAAGGATTTTTTAAGGATTTTTTAAAGATTTTTTGAGGATTTTTAAAGGAATTTTTAAGGATTTTTAAAGGATTTTTAAAGGGTTTTAAAGGGTTTTTGAAGGGGTTTTAAAAGGGTTTTTTAAAGGGTTTTTTTAAGGATTTTTTCAGATTTTTTGAAGATTTTTTAAAGATTTTTTTAAATATTTTTTAAGGATTTTTTAAGGATTTTTTGAAGATTTTTAAGGGATTTTTGAAGGATTTTTTAAGGATTTTAAAATGATTTTTTAAGGATTTTTAAAGGAACTTTTAAGGAATTTTTAAGGATTTTTAAAGGTTTTTAAAGAGGTTTGGAAGGGGTTTTAAAGGGATTTTAAAGGTTTTTTTTAAGGATTTTTTCAGATTTTTTTTAAGATTTTTTAAGGATTTTAAAAGGATTTTTAAAGGAATTTTTAAGGTTTTTAAAGGATTTTTAAAGGGGATTGGAAGGGGTTTTAAAGGGGTTTAAAAGGGTTTTTTTAAGGATTTTTTCAGATTTTTTAAAGATTTTTTAAGGATTTTTAAAGGATTTTTTGAAGATTTTTAAAGGATTTTTTAAGGATTTTTTTAAGGATTTTTAAAGGATTTTTTAATGATTTTTTAAAGGGTTTTTGAAGGGGTTTTAAAAGGATTTTAAAGGGGTTTTTTTAAGGATTTTTTAAGATTTTTTTAAGATTTTTTAAGGATTTTAAAAGGATTTTTTAAGGATTTTTAAAGGAATTTTTAAGGATTTTTTAAGGATTTTAAAAGGATTTTTAAAGGGTTTTTAAAGGATTTTTAAACGGGGTTGGAAGGGGTTTTAAAGGGGTTTAAAAGGGTTTTTTAAAAGGGTTTTTTTAAGGATTTTTTCAGATTTTTTAAAGATTTTTTTTAAGATTTTTTTTAAGATTTTTTCAGATTTTTTGAAGATTTTTTAAAGATTTTTTTAAATATTTTTTAAGGATTTTTTAAGGATTTTTTGAAGATTTTTAAGGGATTTTTGAAGGATTTTTAAAGGATTTTTAAAGGATTTTTTAAGGATTTTAAAAGGGATTTTTAAAGGAATTTTTAAGGAATTTTTAAGGATTTTTTAAGGATTTTTTAAGGATCTTTTAAGGATTTTTAAAGGATTTTTTAAGGATTTTTAAGGAATTTTAAAGGGGTTTTAAAGGGGTTTTAAAGGGGTTTTTTTAAGGATTTTAAAAGGGATTTTTAAAGGAATTTTTAAGGAATTTTTAAGGATTTTTTAAGAATCTTTTAAGGATTTTTAAAGGATTTTTTAAGGATTTTTAAGGAATTTTAAAGGGGTTTTAAAGGGGTTTTTTTAAGGATTTTTTCAGATTTTTTTCAGATTTTTTTTCAGATTTTTCTCGGATTTTTTTTTCAATTTTTTTTTTCTGGATTTTTAAAAATTTTTTTTTAGATTTTCAAAACCCCCAACCCCCTGAAACCCTTTGGGGTCACTCAGGGGATTTGGGGGGGATTTGGGGGGGTTTAGAGGGGATTTGGGGAGGTTTAGAGGGGATTTAGGCAGTTTGGGTGAGATTTGGGGGGATTTTGGGGCAGTTTGGGGGGATTTGGGTGAGATTTGAGGGTATTTTGGGGTGTTTTGGGGCAGTCTGGGGGGATTTGGTGGGTATTTTGGGGTATTTTCGGGTGTTTTGGGTAGTTTTGGGGTGTTTTGGGGTATTTTTGGGGTATTTTGGGGTATTTTTGGCTATTTTGGGGGTATTTTAGGGTATTTTTGGGGTGTTTTGGGGTATTTTTGGGGTATTTTGGGGTATTTTTGGCTATTTTGGGGGTATTTTAGGGTATTTTTGGGGTGTTTTGGGGTATTTTTGGGGTATTTTTGGGTATTTTTTTTGTTTTGGGGCATTTTGGGGGTATTTTTGGGGTATTTTGGGGTGTTTTGGGGTATTTTTTGCTATTTTGGGGGTATTTAGGGTATTTTTGGGGTATTTTAGGGGGGTTCTTGGGGTATTTTTGGGGTGTTTTTGGAGTATTTTGGGGTGTTTTGGGGTATTTTTTGCTATTTTGGGGGTATTTAGGGTATTTTTGGGGTATTTTAGGGGGGTTCTTGGGGTATTTTTGGGGTGTTTTTGGAGTATTTTGGGGTGTTTTGGGGTATTTTTTGCTATTTTGGGGGTATTTAGGGTATTTTTGGGGTATTTTTCGCTGTTATGGGGTATTTTTGGGTGTTTTTAGGGTATTTTTGGTATTTTTGGGTGTTTTTGGGGTATTTTGGGGTAATTTTTGGGGTGTTTTTGGGGTGTTTTGGGCTGTTTTGTGGTATTTTGTGTTATTTTTGGGTATTCTTGGGGTATTTTTGGGGTATTTTGGGGTATTTTTGGGGGTTTGTTTTGTGTATTTTTGGGTATTTTTGGGGTGTTTTTGGGTTATTTTTGGGCGTTTTTGGGGTGTTTTGGCCGCCCACCTTGGTCAGGTAGTAGACGCTCTGCTGGAACGTGGACATGATCACCTCGTCCAGCACGCCCAGCGCCTCGTCGCAGCTCTCCAGGTCCTGCTCCAGCTCGGGGCACGGCCCTGCGCCCCGAAACACCCCAAAAACGGGGGGTCAGACCCCCCAAAAAAATCCCAGACACACCCCAGCTCGGGGCACGGCCCTGCGCCCCAAAAACGGGGGTCAGACCCCCCAAAAAAACCCCAAACAAACCCCAGCTCGGGGCACGGCCCTGCGCCCCAAAACACCCCAAAAATGGGGGGTCAGGCCCCCCAAAAACCATCCCAAACACACCCCAGATCGGGGCACGGCCCTGCACCCCAAAAACGGGGGGTCAGACCCCCCAAAAAAAACCCCAAACAAACCCCAGCTCGGGGCACGGCCCTGCGCCCCAAAAAACGGGGGTCAGGCCCCCCAAAAACCACCCCAAACACACCCCGGCTCGGGGCACGGCCCTGCTCCCAAAACACCCCAAAAACGGGGGGTCAGGCCCCCCAAAAAAACCCCAAACACACCCCAAAAATGGGGTCAGACCCCCCAAAAAACCCCTGAATCCAGCCCAGCTCGGGGCACGGCCCTGCGCCCCAAAACACCCCAAAAATGGGGTCAGACCCCCAAAAAACCCCAAATACACCCCAAAAAATACCCCCCTCCCAGTACCCCCAGTGCCCCCCAATCCCCTCCCAGTGTCCCCCAGTGTCCCCAGGCTCACCCAGACCGTCTCCCTGAGCATGGCAGCCACCTTCCCCAGCAGCTCGGGCAGGTGTCCGGCCGGGAACTCCGCGGCCGCGTGCTCCAGGCACAGCCCCAGCAGGAAGGCGGGGGCCAGCGCCCCCAAATCCTCCTGCCCGCCGTCCCCCTGCCCCCCGGGGGACCCCTCCCCGCCCTCCTCGGGGGCGGCGGGACCCCCCCCCAAATCCAGGCTCAGGATTTCCCTGAGCAGCGTCCCCTCGTCCTGGGGCCGGTAGCGCAGCTCGGCCTTGGGGGTCTCCAGAGCCCCCCGCAGCTCCTCCCGCCGCTGCCGGGGGCTCCTCCCGCACCCCGCGCACCCCAAAACCCCCAAGACCCCCGGGGCCTCCCGGGGGGGCGGCAGCCAGGCCGGCCGAGACCCCTCGCCGAGCCGGGGGTCTTTGTAGAGCAGCAGCACGTGCTCCCCCAGCCCCAAAAGGTCGCCGGGGTTCAGGGGGGCTCGGCGGAGCAGGGGGGTCCCGTTCAGCGTGGTGGGGGCGCCCCGAAAAGGCCGCACGGTGGCCTGGCGGGGGTCGCCCCCCGCCCCGAAAGCGGCGTCGCCCCCTCCCCACTGCACCAGGCAGTGGCGGGGCAGGATGTCGGGGGCGCTCAGGAAGGTGTCGACCACCGAGAGCGGCCCCGAATCCGGCGGTTTTTGGGGGGGGTCGGGGCTTTCCGGGCTGG